GTAGAGAAAACCGATTAGTAACGCTCAATGATTCTTTAATATGATTGGTTCCTACCTTTAGATCCAGCGAATAACTAAAGACAAGAACCAATCATTAAAGAATCACTGAGCTCTCACTCACTAATTAATTTTCTTTGCTGAACGCAGCCATTTTTTGTGTTACACATTTACAACAAGATTTGTAATATATGTCCTTTTAATGTTTTAGAGCAAAATTCTCAGAAATTACGAGACCGTCCGTTGAAAGAGCTCTGCAAAATTTGGCACAGCCAGATAAGGCGATGAGCGATGCCGTAGATGTAAGAAGTGAATTAGATTTACGAATAGGTACTACTTTCATTAAACGTCATTAATTAGAATGATTGATCTGTAACTTTTGTTATAAACTTCTAATTGACAAACATATTGACAGGTGCCGCGTTTACGAGGTTTCAGACCTTAAGATTACAGAAAGTGTTTCCCAACACTCTTGGAGATCTGCTCATTAGTTACGGAAGCTGCCAGTTTCCAACGCTTGGATTTGTAGTCGAAAGGTTTCTTGCCATCGATCGCTTCAAGTCTGAACCATATTGGAAACTAAAAGTGATGGACGATCGCGAGGGGATATCTGTAGAATTCAGATGGGCCAGGGTAAGATTATTTGAAAAAATTCCTTGCCAAATATTTCTGGACATGTGCTTGGAACAGCCGGAAGCTACAGTGGAAAAAGTAACATGCAAACCAAAAAGCAAATGGAGACCTCTACCCCTGGATACTATTGTAAGTAATTAAATTAAGATATTGCGAGATATTTAATATTCTATTTTAAAAAATTGTCAATTTAGGAATTGGAAAAGCAAGGCTCCCGTAAGTTACGCATAAACGCGAAAGAGACAATGAGGATAGCGGAGAGATTATACACTCAAGGTTTCATTAGCTACCCACGTACGGAAACGAATATATTTCCGAAGGAATTGAATCTAAGATCTTTAGTAGAGCAGCAAGTAAACAATCAGGAATGGGGTAACTTTGCGCAAAATTTACTAGAATCTGGAATAACTCCCAGACAAGGAAAGAAAAGCGATCAAGCGCATCCTCCTATTCATCCCATAAAATATACCGACAATTTATATGGTCCGTTTATAGTATTTATTCTTCCCTTATAGAAATCTAATATCTGTTGGCCAATTTTAATACTGGGAATTACTCATTTTGAATAAAAACATTGATAAATAATACTTTTAATATTCAAAATAACTAATCACCTTTCGGTATTAAATTTCTGTAAGGGTTATTTATATTGTTAACTCGACTGCGTTAGTCAGTTGCAATTTATCAATAGGAAACGAAGCAAAGGTCTATGAATTTGTGGTTCGACATTTTCTGGCTTGTCTGTCAAAGAATGCGGAGGGCCGAGAAACACTGGTGGAAATTGATATAGCGGGAGAGAAATTCAAGGCTAACGGTCTTGAAATCATAGCAAAGAATTATCTCGATGTGTACATATACGAAACATGGAATAACAAGCAGATTCACTCTTACGAGCAGCGGCAAGTTTTTCGACCAACTAGTATTGATATGATGGAAGAGAAAACTTCAGCACCAAATTTATTAACCGAAGCTGAGTTGATCGCACTAATGGACAAACACGGCATCGGTACGGATGCTACTCATGCTGACCATATTGATACCATCAAATCCAGGCAATATGTAGGCTTAACAGATACTCAACATTTTATGCCAGGCAAATTGGGAATTGGTTTGGTCATGGGTTACGATAATATGGGCTTTCAAATGTCCAAGCCGCATTTGCGTGCGGATTTAGAAAAAGATTTACAACTGTAAGCTAACTTAATGTATCATTAGACAGTCTCTTATAACCAATTCGATTAGACGCACACTAGTACACATTAATTAATGTCTTAATAAATTGATGTAAAGTTGTTTAATATAAATTCTTTCTATTTTTTTAGATCTATTTTTATCAATTTAATTTCCACTTATAATTGTTTGAAATATAGAAATGGATTAAAGTTTAACCTATTTCTATGCGATTTTTTAAAACATTTGCATTTCACTTTATATAAATTAGTACACAACGGTTTTAATATGCACGAGTGCGTACTAGTGCATTCAATCGAATTCACTATTATTCTATATGAGTATAAATCTGTTTTTATTATATTTTATTATTATAGGATATGCGAGAATAAAAAAAACCCAAATGAAGTATTACAAAATCAAATTAATAAATATCGCGAAGTGTTCCAAGTGGCTATAGAACGCGCCAATTTGATAGACGACTCTTTAGCACACTATCTCGACGAGAGACCTCTTCAAACCGAACAAATACAGCTTAATACTCCAGTGGTTACTAGTATATTTAAATGTCCAAAATGCGGCTCTGACATGGTTTTAAAACAGAGACGACAAGGCAGAGGAAAATATATCACCTGTATGGGATATCCAGAATGTACCAACGTGATCTGGTTTCCAGAAGCTGTAGAGGATGTGGAAGTTTTAAACGAAACATGCAATCGGGTAAATATAACATCTTTGCGTGCTGTTTATTTCACATACGTATATGTGTTTTCGTAAGTTATTAAATTTGTGTACGATTAATATTTTCAGTGTACAGAAAATATACACAAATTAAAATTCAAATTAGTCAGAAATATGATACCCATGTACGGTACTTCTCACACAACTTGTATAGGTTGTGATACTGTGTTTAACGAAATGTTAAACATTAAAGAAGATTGCATTAAACAAACTGGAAGAACGAATTATACTGTTCACAATAATACGAGAGATACATTGAACTCCACCTCAAGTACATCTCAATCTACTTCAAATACATTTCAATCGCGAAGTATCCAACCAGTTTCTAATAGTACAGGATTTGTACGAAATAACAACAATGTTGGCTTGATCGGAACTTCTGCCATATCATCCGACAGACCAAACACACAAAACCAGAATTCTAATATTTCTCAGCCGAATAGCTCGAATAGATCAAATACTGTCAATAGAAGTACAATATCGGACAATAGAGAAAATCATTTTTCTTGGATTAATACAAGAGATTTCAACAATCCAGAGAATAGAGCAAGTCAATCCACGTTCAGAAATTCTCGCAATACGAACAATGTAAAAGATATATGGGGTAATACAGACAATAATGCTGAGATTATATGTCACTGTCATGAGACTGCGATCCAATTAACAGTTAGAAAAGATGGACCAAATAAAGGTGAGTGGCGATCGCATATAAGTTTATGATTTATCACGTAAGTCGCTTTGAATAACATTTGCAATTTCAGGACGTTTATTTTACAAATGCGCTAAACCGCAGGGAAGTGGTTGTAATTTTTTTTTGTGGGGATCTGATAGCGCCGAGTCAAACACAGAGAACGAACATTCCACTTGGGGATCTAGCTGGAATAGAAACAATGATAGTGCTGGTCACTTTTCTGGTGCTGGCACTTCTAATAACGATTGGGGAAATCCGTCTACGAATGATGTTATGTGTAATTGTAATCAGCCCGCTCGAAAGTAAGTAAAATCTCCAACCAGAAAGAGCGATAAATTTTCTCTGTTGGCCATATATTAATATCAATTAATAATTAATTAATGAGTGATGAAATCATAATTAGTATTGTCCATTAACAGCTTCACTATAGATCTGTTCTTTTTAGCTAAAGTTCTTGCATGGTTCATCTTTCTTTCTTTTCTCCATATTGGAGAGAAAGTGAGAAAAGATGAACCGTGCAAGAAGTTCAGCTAAAAAGAGCAGGTCTTATGTCTTTAATATAATATATGTCAAAATATTTTCGTGTTTCTGTAGGCTAATGGTTCACAAAGATGGTCCTAATAAGGGACGACATTTTTATGGATGTCCTAAGGGTGTAAACTCCACTTGTAATTTTTTCAAATGGGCAGATGAAGATGACACCAATGATAGTCACATGGACTGGAGCAATTCCACTGCAAGAGGAATAGGAAATAAAGCACGTAGCAAATTTTCACAAAGAGGCAATGCTCCCAAAAGACCCAAACTCACCGGGGGCAAAAGAAAGTGTGGAAATTGCGGATTGGAAGGTAATATTTAAAGAATTTTTTTAATGATATTTTCTCTTTTTCTGTCTTTCTCTTAACTATATTAAAAATAGATTTTATGTTCTCAATTATATCTGTTATCGTATCTAAATTATATATTTTTATATTATATATTTTTCATTTTGTACTTTTTTACAGGTCATACGAGGAAGAAATGTCCGAATAATGCGATGGACTGACGAATGAATTTTTTTCAATACAGTGTTGTAAATAATGTACAGTTTATAACGATTGTAATTGTAAAAAACTTAATTAGAATGAAGCAGTGTCAAATACAGCTTTATTTCTAAGACTTAACTACTACTTTATAACTTTTACAAGTGTTAAGATGGGAAGTAGTTTGATAATCATTTAGTGTTGTTTTATAGTTTTTGTTCATATCCTACTAAGCTGCGCAAATAATAATATTTAATAAATTAAATGACAATTCCTTTATTATAAGAAAAATTGTTTTTCATTCTCTTTAATTCTTCTTTCTGTGAGTGAAGTGCGATTGTTGCGTTAATTATAAAAAATTAACATCATTATTAATGATTACCGTTATATGTTTCTATTAGTTCTGTTATAATCTTGATAAATTTTTTCAAAATATATACTTTTTGTTTCTCAAAGATTAATTTTCTAATTTTTTGAAAGGCGTAACATAAAAAATTATTGTATCTAAAAGTATATCAAACTTTAATTTTAACAAATTATTATTGATTGGAAGTTGTTCCTCTTATTTTTGTTTTTGCACTAAAAATTTATTTTTATGTAAAAATGAAGATGAAAGGAACATCTCCAATGATCTTGATTTTGACAGGGAGGGCTCCGATTGCACACATCGCATGTTGCACACATGTATCGCTGATTGGCCAATTTAATATCTATTGCAGCGAAGGACAAATTTCTCGACCGCACCCGGTTGATAAGATAATAGGAATGCAGTTGCATCAAACGAGTCATCATTGCAAGTATATTGCAAGGATCTAAAATATTTGAAAGTTTCTGACGAAATCGATTCTTGTATTCACATTTAAGAAATATTTCGCGAAAGCCATTAACAAAGAAGAAAAAGAAAGGAGGATGGATGTGAAAGAGCAATATAACGGGGTGGAAGAAATAATATGTGACTTGATGAACGCTTTTGAAAATGTACAACGGGAAATAAAGATAGAGATGGAGAAATTAAAAGACGAAATGAGATGTAGGGAAAAAGATTGGACAGAGGAAAAAAATAAATTAAAAGAAAGAATAAAGAAATTAGAAGTAATATGCGAAGAATATAAGAAGATTAAAGACGAAATAAGACAATTAGAAAGAACGGAGACGGATAGTGAAAGAGAAGAGGTGGAATGTGTATGGGATAACAGAATTGAGATGATGAAAGAGTTGCTTGATAAATTCGAGAGAGGTGAGAAAAGTGTAAAGCAAGAAAAGAGAAAAAAAAATAATACGAGGGTCGCATTGATCCCCACTAGTACTCCAAGTACATCCCAATTGCAAAATACAGCTACTTCTATTAATACAGACTTTGGTCGAAATAACAACAATTTTGACTTGATAGAAACTCCTAGCACTTCATCGGAAAGACGTGCGCAAAATCAGAATTCGAACATTTTTCAGTTAAATGAATTAAATAGGCCAAATACTGCCAGTGGCAATACAGTATCAGAGAATAGAAAAAATCATACTCCCTCGATTAATTTCGGTGATTTCAAAAATTTTATGAACAAATCAGATCAATTTGCGTCCAGTAATTCTCACAATGCTAACATTATGTGTAATTGTAAAAAGCCTGCTGTTCAAATAGTTGGAAAATTTGGACCAAATAAGGGTAAGTGGCAATCGTATATAAATATAATTTGTCACGTAAGTTACTTTGAATAATATTTGTAATTCCAGGACGTCTATTTTACAAATGCAGTGAAAACGTTTGCAACTTTTTGAAATGGGCAAATGAGGATAGTGCAAAATTTCAAGGTAATGCAGGGAAGAAACGTTCAATGGTATCAAGCCCTGATAAAAACAACGATAGTAACTTTTCTCGCCCTAGCACTTCTAAGGACAATTGGGACAACCCATCCACGAATGTTATGTGTAACTGTAATCAGTCCGCTCGAAAGTGAGTAAAATCTCCGATCGGAAAGAACGACAAAACTTTTTACGATTAACAACACATGACGTCAATAATTAATTAATTAATTATATGAAATCTTAATGTCACCAATTAGCAGCTTCATTATGTATCTAATACAAAAATAATTTTGCGAGTTTTTTTAGGATGGAGGTTTACAGAGATGGCCCTAAAAAGGGACGACTATTTTATAGATGTCCAAATTCCATTTGTAATTTTTTCAAGTGGGCAGATAAGAATGATAACGGAGTTCCTGAAAACGCTAAAAAGCCCAAACTTATCAGGGGCAGGAGAAAATGCGGAATTTGCGGAATAGAAGGTAAAGAAGAAAGTTTAAAGAATTCATCTTTTTATTATCTTTTCTTTTCTCTAGAGTCCGACCGAAACTTTTACCGAAATTAAAAACGAACATTCATTACGTGTCAGTTTCGACTGAAACCATATAGCTCTTATTCATAAATATTAATTTTAATATGCGTTATGTTTCAATAATTAAATTATGATGTTTATGAAGAAAAAGTACTTATATTCTTTGGCCAAAATTGACACAACCGAAATTTCGGTTTTTTTATTTCGGCCGAAATTTAATTATTATTTCAATAAATTATGATATTTATAAAAAAAAAAGTATATAATATAATATAACGGCATGTCATATATACATATAGTCTTTATAGGATTCCTGTTTTTTAATTTTGGTTTCGGTTTCGATTGAAATTGACATGTAGTC